TATATTATATATATATATATATATATATATATATATATATATATATATATATATATATATATATATATAAACATATATATATAAACATATATATATATATATATATATATATATATATATATATATATATATATATATATATATATATATATATATATATATATATATATACCAAATATATATTATTAGAATCATATATGAGTAGAGTGCTCGATATACCGAAGTATAGAGCTAATAGATAAACTTTACTTCATAAGATTTATTCACTACAAACTTGTTTCGTATGACAAGCAATGCTTGCCACACTCAGGTGAATTTAAATGTCGCGCTATGTTGTTGCCAAGGTTATATATACTATATACTTGTTTGACGTAAACGGAATGTTCAAGTATTAAATTACGTATAGATTACATATATATACAGATTATATTAAGTAATGTATATTGCTTAAGAGAAATTTGTTTCTATGTCTGCATTTCGACAAAAGTTCACTTCTTGAATTTAAAGAACAAAGTTCAGGGTGGTAGATTATGATGAACTTCTCATGTGTACAAAGACTGCAGCGTTTCGTTGTGTTGTTGTAGCTCTTGCATTGCTTAATAATACGCCAGTTTATGGAGTACTTGACCTTCGACTCTTTAAGTTGCCAGATGTATTTGCTCAGCTCTGTGGCATTTCTATACTTGCTTAATCTGAATGAGCTAGTGTGGCAATAATATCTGGATTTGAACTGTTCTTCAGTATGTCCGACATATATATATATATATATACATATATATATATATATATATATATATATATATATATATATATATATATATATATATATATATATATATATATATATATATATATATATATATATATATATATATATATATACTTACCAAAATCTCCATAGCCAATTACAATATCATAAACACCACTTCCAATCAGAGGAGGAGTGAGGACTATACCGGCATGCAACGCGGTCGGGCGCGTTTTTTTTTACATATCGATTTCTCGCTCTGCGCCGTCATTGTTCGGTCGGCTTTCGTTGTGTTTACACCTCGAGGTTTCAAGAGATTCAGAAAAGATTTATAGAAAAAAATTGTAAAATGGTGCATTTTTGCACTATGCATGGAAAGAAAGCTTCGTTTTTTTTCTGTGTGTTCTGAGGTGTGTTCACTGTGTGTCAAAACAGCCTTTAATCTTAATTTCGGAAAGATTACCGTGTGATGAACTTGAATGTCGTGAGGTTCATGTTTATAATTCTACGGATAGTTCGAAGAATAGTCCTTTGTCCAGCTGTGGTTAACGGGATAAAAATTGATGAAATTGTTCGCTGATTGCGGTAGTCCTGCACTGGTTCAAATTCACTCTAGTTGTGTTTTTAAGGTGAGATGATTTTTATATTAAATAAAAATAGAAATGCTCCTATGTTCTATAAATACAGCAGTATTAAACGTATTTTTATTTTATATCATGTATTTCTTCGATCCTAATGATCCACGGGAACGAGGTATAAACAAAGAATATAACAATATGTTATGTTGTGGGAGTTTGACATTTCAACATCACCAACATCCCAAGCAATCCCACCATGTGACCCAGATAATCAAGATGATGAGCTGGACAGTGTACTTCCACCAATAGAATTACATCAGCCAACTGATTGTAACTGTTTTAATTTACCAATAAATCCTGTTTGCCCTGACGGACATTCATACACACCGAATGATGCGCCCAGTGGTAGCATTGTTGTAAAGAATGAAATGGAGGAAATTCAACACTATCACAACACTATATATTAATGTATTGACTACTGTGTGATGTATTGCAAGGATTTATACTGATCAACCAGTTATCTATGCTCAAATGATCAACCAGTTGTCTATTATTTTACTCTGCCTAACGCCAGATTATTTTACTGTCTAACACTAGACTATTTACTCATCAGGGGGAGAGTGCTGACACTCAATGGGTTAAAAAACATTGAAAAGAAAATGTTTAGCAGAAGCTGAAAAATTGTTTATTGGTGTCTGGTGTAATACTGATATTTCTTTTATTTGTAAGGATAGAGCTGGGGAGCTTCTAATGGTACAGTCTTGGCCCTACCCCAGTTTTCCTGTACTCCATGTGTTTTTGTCACTTCCCTGATTATACCATAAGTATTGTATCCCATGGACACCATCTTATCAGTTCTGCAGTTTTTTGACAATCTACCGTAAACCTCCACCTAAAAGCACTGGGCTTATATTCTTTCATAAGCAATTTTTGATGGGCTTACACAAGGGGGGGGGGCTTATACACTGGGAGGGGGGCTTATATTCAGAGGTTTATGGTATGTATGGTTTTCATGATTTTCAGTGTATAGTCTTCCCTTGCTCATCACAAATTAATAAAAAGATCACACACTACATAATTGATGTTGATAAAATTTATTTATTTTAAAATCGAAAAAATATTAACATAATATTGCTGTACTTAAGATAATTAAAATGTTTTTAAAAATAAAATTTTATGCACACAATTTTAAAATATTGCACACATTCATTTCACCAGTACACATGGATGTTATATGACAAAGTATATGAAAGGTGATGCTTTTGCTCTAGCTTAATGATGTATTAAAACAATCTAGAGGTATTACATAATTGGTAAACCTCTTCAATCGTAATGATTTGCATGATTTTCTGCAACAGATATGAATTCAATGAATGCTTTATCTTCCTCAAATGTCCATTTATGAAGTTTTATTGGGGATTTCTTTGGAGGAGTCGGTTTAATCTTTCTGATAGGAAACTGCAAAACAAAGAGCAAAAGTGAGAGGGGCAATGTAAGTTCCAGCACAATTAGACAACAACAAAGAAACTCATGGATTTTTAGCCCAGGATTGTGGGCATGCTTCTGCGGGAAATTTGTGTACTATG